GTGGGACTGCGGTGTTCATAATGACACGAGTTTTCTGCCGTTCTTCCGTTCTGCTTGGGAAAGCCTTTCTGTAGAAATCCAGAGAAAAACAGATTTTTTTAAAAAGGTATAATTAGGTTATTGCTTTTACATGCCTATGTTTACTACTTGAGCATTTCATGCTCCCTACAGTTTATCTGGGGTAATAACCATAAAGTAGTGTAGGTGAGTGTAGGGATGGGTGAGGCCTGGGGCTCACACGTACCTTTCCTGAGCATCTGGGGAAACTGCGCAATCAAGGTACTGCTTGCTCTAAGTAACAGACTTGGAAGGAAGAAATACGTTTTTGCAAAGCAGTTGAATTAAATCCTTTGCAGCCTTCTCCATTGGCCTCTTGTTTTGGTGCCTTCTCATGGATGCATTTGACTTTCTGATTAGGGCTTTCAGTGTAATACACAGTTTGAGAAGTATCCCTTTTCAAACCTATATACAACTGCTTTCTTCCTCCACATTAGTAATGCGGTGTTCGGTTTAGGTTGAGGATGGGATCTGTTTCAGGCTCACGTTCAGAATCCCAGGTCTTGGGTCCCTTTGCTTAAATTCCTAAACATTCTTAGTTGAGCCATGCTTGATTCGTGTTTCTTCAACTTCATAGAGCAGAGAGCACTTTGTCTACAGGGCAGTAGGGCTATGTGAGGAAAAAGCTGCATGCCTTATAAACCTCTTTGCACCCTATAGGAGTCCAGAGTATCAACAGTAGGAATCTATATAGTGTAAAATCAGGAGAAAAGAAGATGTGCACCTTGCTCAGTTCTCTCTTCTGCTCATCTGGACTCATCAATTTGTTTTGCAGTTTAGGAGTGGTGATATCAGTGTTATCCCTCCCTGCAGACAGTGTTTATCAACCAATTAAATTAAGTTTTTTTGCTGCCCAGTGCATTGGCTAATGTTGATACTGTTTTGCTGACAGACAAATATTAGAGAAGCCTTGAGGTTTCACCCACCTTATTGTGGATCTTCTGTCTTTGCCAGTTCAAAGCAAAACAGAAATCCTTTAGAATTTGATAAACTATATATTGCAAATAAGTTTATGAATTTGAAGTTTAGTTGCATAGAGCTTTAAAGTTTAAGGATGTCTATAAACAAGTCTTTATTTTTTCAGGTTTAAATGGAACATGCAATAATTCTAGTGTACCAACATCAACTTCAGAAATGCCAGATTATTTATTGTAAGTACATTTATCAGTTGCTTCATCACTTTGGGATCATGTTTCAAGCTAAAAATCACAATGTAGTGGGGATTTTTGTTGTACTTTATTGTTACTCGATAAAACTTTGTAAGGTGGGTTTAAAAAAAAGAAAGAGTAAATCCAACTTTGCAGATAGTTCCTGAGACTAAACTTGGTGTCAGATCTGTTCTTTACCTCCTCATGGAGTTCAAGGTTATCTTCCTATAAACACATTCTCAGAGTACTTCAAGAAACATCATACCTTGAAGGGGTTTGAGAGGATTAAACATCTCCATGTTACATTTGGAAACTTTGAGAGGAAATTATCTGCTTTAGTTATGGAAGGCAGGGCAAGAAAGGATTTTGAGAGGTTAGTTAATTCTTCCCCTGTTCAGCGCCAAAATCATCTACATAAACCAGTGAAGTATTCTTCATGGCAAGGTTATAACCCGTGGGTTAGGATGTGACTTGTTTCACCTCTTGACTTTTTAATCAGATCCCCTTGAGGTTAATTAAACAAGATACTTGTCTGCTGAAGCACAAAAATCCCTGTGCATAAAGCCAAAAATCTGCATAAACCCAAACCTGTTACAAACAAAGCTCTATCATAGCGAAGAAGTGTAGTTGTGGGTGATATTCCCTGTGCACATCTCAGCCTGGATTTTTTAATGCCATCAGATCTGGTTTGGCTGTGCAGTGATCACTTAGAGGGAAGAGATGGAGGAGGAGGAGGCATCCGCAGGAGCAGTCCCTGGAGTTGACTGGAAGATATATAGGGTTCTTGTATGGTTACAAAACTGTGGTTTGCTGGGCTGTATGAACGATACAAACAACCGCTTTGAGTTGACTTTTCTAGTACCATTCAGAAGAATGTGGATGGCTGGGGTTTTTTTCTTGCAACAGATGTGCTGATCCCTCCTATAGAGGGATATTACAGCTCCTCGGTCCATCTCCAAAGAAATAGTGTAAGGTTTATGAACTCCTGTAAGGTCTGTTGTCTCACTTTTTGGTACGATGTGACTGTTTTGGTGGTCAGCTCCTTAAATTGTAAGAGCTGTCACTGCTGTTTTGATCATGGAGGCATATGTTTCATACTGGTGAGGACAACTTCCCTTATCTCATAGTAGCGTATCCTGTGTAGATGCTTATTTGTACCAACCCCTAGCAAGGAGTCAGTTCTTGAAGGCTAGAGCGCGTTAGGTTAATGGAGTGAAAGTTTTTCCCTTAATTTGATACCTAAGTTAGCTTATATGTGTTCATGCACTGAGCTGGCACTGCTGCAGACAGAGTAAGGTGGCAAATTAGAGTCATCGCCTACAAAGAAATGAGTTTTACCATCAGAGAGGACTGGCTGCTAGGCTTTCTGCAAAACGTCAGGTTTAATTGCTTTTTGTTGAGCTGAATAACTTTCAAAGGGCCTCAAAGGCACAAATGTTAAGCATGAGCTCTTGTCTTCAATTCACGTTGGGTGTCTTCAGAAGGTAGTGGAGATATATTCAGTCTATTCAACATGGTTCCTTGTGGTGCGCTTGACACAGTCATACTGTGAGCATTTTGCAACGATAGCTGAATGCTTTTTGTGTTCCTTTAAAGACTCCTAACACTGGAAGCATCTTTTTGCTGCTGTTCCAAGGTCTGGCACAGATGCAGAACTCCATGTTCTGCGGGACAGCAGGAGTTAGAAAAGCTGTAGCAGTGCTATCTGAACGTCCTCCTACACCCTCAGCTGCTCCCAGGCTTTGCTGTACCTGCTTATTCCACCCTATCTGGCATAGATAGGAAATTTTGGGAGCAAACACTGTCTTGTTTTACGCAGAGGTCAAGACAATAATCCTGACAGTTACCTCCATGCTACTGTAATGCAAATCGTGAGATTTGTTTTCAAATGCAGTCGCCTGGTAGACCTGTCATCCTGGTTTTGGCATTGCAGTGTTCGTGCTGTCTGGAGAGAAGACTTACTAAACCGATTAACTAAACTATTCTCCCTCCAGAAAATACGCAGCCATTTCCTCTTCGGAGCAGCGTCAGAGTTACAAAAATGACTTCAATGCAGAATACAACGAGTACAGAGACTTGCACGCTCGGATAGAGAGGATAACTCGACGGTTTACGCAGTTAGATGCCAAGCTGAAGCAGCTTTTGCAGGGCTCTGAAGAATATAAGGTAGAAACAGAAATACATCTTTCCAAAAGCGATTTCTGCAAGTGACAATGCTACAGCTCGTTTTAGTTGCTCTGTATGTGGGGCTGTTTGGGATGGGTTGGTGTCTAAAACGTACTGCCCAGAGCCCCAAACTGGTGGATGCAGAACGTGCACACAGCTGACAGCTTTGTAGACTGTTCTTAAAACAGCTCTGTGTTCTTTCGGTTTCAAGCTGGAGCACACATCATGGTACTTGTTGACAAGGAAAGGCCTCAGTGAGACAATTGGCGTCTTCAGCCAAAAGCTGCTGGAAGCTATTAGTGTATTCCAGCCAGAAAACTCATATTCGCACATATGGTAGTGTATCGGGGCTCGAAGGGGAGTTAGTGCGGGGTCATCTGTTTCTTTGGAATCTTTGATCTTAATAAGGTAGCATTATTCGACTTGTCGAATAGTTGAAAGAGCTTTAACTATTCATTATCTTGAGAAAGTAAGTCTCATTGAATATAATAAACATTTTTACAGAGCACCTATTGTACTAAGCACTATTTCTTCCCTCAAACATCCTTCCCCTCTCTGAGAAATTCAGTAATTCCTCACTGAATTATTTTTATATCTCGGGGAAAAATTAGTCTGAGCTGTGGAGGAAATGTCAATTATCCTGCCAACCCAAGTGCCTGTTACAGGTAGTTGTCATGGCTGGGGAATGGGGCCTGATCCTTCCAGTGCTTCTGGTGTCAGCACCAGTACAGTCAGCCAGTGAGGCTGGTTGTAGCCATCAGATCTCACGGGGGAAGTCGTGGAGGGGAGTAGATTTTGGTCAGTATTTGGAGGAAACGTGTATGTTGAGCCATCAGTAAATGCTTGCCTACTGCAGTAGGTTGCAGGACTGTTGGCTCTTTTGAAAATAATAAGCTATCTTTTCCTTTTTAGACCATCCATGATCAAATTTTACAGGAATATCGGAAAATTAAAAAGGTAAGTAAAAATAGCTGGCCACAAAAAAGGCTTTTGGGTGGTGCCCCTAGTGACTGAAAGGGATGGGTACTTGCCAAGTGAAAAACCCAGTCTCTGAAGCTTTCTAGCAGATCTTTGTTCAGCTCGAGCTCGTCCAAAAAGTGATCCCTTCCTGGATCAGAAAGGGTTTGTGGGGAGTCGAGACTGCTCCTTGGATCCTGGGGAGCATTCAGCTGTGTTAGTGGCATGCTAGCACAAGAGCGAGATGTGTTGAATTAGTGCCTTTATCCCGTCAAGTGAAAGAACAGTTTGTATTTCAGATGCACAGGCTGAGTGATAACAGGATCCTCCAGGTCTTGGGGTCTGCTGGTATATGGGGTACGATTTGAGCGCAGTCTCTAGTGTGAATCACTTGGGTACATAGTCCCCTGCGGGGCTCAGCGGGGCTTTTTGGTGTGTGGGGCACGCAGAATACTTCACATCTCTGTATGTATACGTAAAGCAGCAGTTGTTGGCTGGAGGGATTTGTGATTTAGCTGGATGAGGTAGAAATGCTGAGGCAGGCTGGGGCATCCATACACCAGGGGTGGGGTTTGGTTTTTTTTAAATCTACGAATATGGCCCTGAGCTGTGCTGTCCCTGAGGGATTTAGGAGCTTTTTGAAGAGATTCCCTGTGTGTTGCAAGTTCATCTTTGTTTTAAAGCTCCCAGACTTGCACAATTCGGTGCTAACATGGGGCAAAGGGCAGGTGGTGCTTGCTGGAAGCTAAGGTGTGTGGCCCAGCTGCTCTGAGTTAGGCTGAGCCTTGCTCAAGCTGCAGTCGTTTTCCTGCGATGAGGCTGCTGGAGCTGGGTATTGATGAAAAGGGATTTTGTTCTTTGCCTTGTTTGACCAGAGTGGGTCCATTTTAAATGGGTATTTACTCCTGCAGCTAGAAGAGCTTCATTCCTTGGTCATATATTTATGCTCTGAGGTCCAATAGCCTCATCTGGGTTCAGCATAGGTGTCACCAAATTCTGAAGAATTGCCTTCCGTCACTGCATTTTCATTTTTCTTTACAGACTAACCCCAATTACAGCCAAGAGAAGAACCGCTGCGAATACCTCCACAACAAACTGGCTCATATTAAAAAACTGATAGCAGAGTATGACCAACAGCAGTTTTAGCTGGCACTAATCTGGACTGGGTAGGGCAAAAAAAGTCACCTGGACGTTACGTTCCCTTTTATACAACTAGATTCCTTTCAGAGACGAGCATTAATTCCTCGTGGTTGAAGAAGTTGGGGATTACTTACGATGCCGAATCTGTCATGTCCGCGTCTGAGCTGGGTCACAAGCCCAGCGCCCGGCACGGTCCTCTCGAGTTTTAGCCTCTCTGAATGTCGGAATGTAACAAATGAAAAAAATCTGCTTATTTGAAGCCAGCGTTTGACACTTAAGGGAAAACTTGCCTAAAGTGAACGAAGCTCCCAAAGGTTAAGAATCAGTAGTTTTCATGGATTAAAGTTTGGCATGAAGTGTAATTACCCCTGGCCCAGGTCCACTGGGTTACAAATTGTCCTTCAAATGGTGAGGAACTGGAATGCTGCTAGGTTACCTCCTTCTCTGGCACCTGCGACTGTTCATATGCAAGCTGTCTGCTCTACATGGCACCGCGTTAAATACACCAAGTACCCAGAGCTCTCGTTGTTTGTTCCTGCTTTTGTCATCTCCGGTGTGTGCTCTCTTGAGGTGGTTGTGTCAGTAGGAGGGGATCAGCCCGGGGATCTGCACTGAGTGCCTTGTGCAGTGCAGAAGTGGATCCTTCATGTAAAAAAAAGAAAAAGGAGAAAAAAAAAAACCCACCAACAATTTTTTTTTTATCCGCTTGTGCGTTTGGAAGCAGCGGGCGTAAACGTTTTGCAGTGGCCTCTCCAGCATGCGCGGTCCAGTCTGCCTGCATTAACCTTCACATACCAATGCTGGGAAGATTGAGACCTGTCTGTCTTTGACTTTTATAATTTTATACCAAGGCAGCCAATTTTATTAATTGCTAATGAGACTATGGTCTATTTTTGTATAAAAAAAAAAAAAGCATCTTTTTCTAAAACTGTGCCTCCCTTTTCCTTTTAGGCCAAGTGTTTCAGAACCTTTCCTGTCTTATAACTGCAGTATTACTAAAGCTTATCGGATAGTTACCCAGAGAAGTTATTTTATTACCTGTACTGACCCGTGAGAGAGGAGAGGGGGGTGTTTTGGGCGGGGGGTGCGATGCTTTCTTCTTCTGTTTTTTGTGTCTTTCCAAAGAAGCAGCAGCAGAAAATCATTCTCAGAGCAGGCGCCCGAGCGTGAGAGAAGTGAGGTAGTGTTTTCCCATGCGGGTCACTTCCACTGTTGTGCTTTATCTAGCCAGCTTCTCGGTGCAGTCTTTCTTCTTGATTTTTTTTTTTTTTGGACTTGAAGGGAACATTTTTAGAGTATGGCCAGGGTGTGAGAAACACGCCAAAAAGCACAAAGGTGTCCTTTAACTCTGCTATTTCTTTTTCTCCCCTCTCCCCTTTTAATCCTGCCAGCCTCTGTGATTTGACTTCTTCCCGCTTCCGTTTATCTCAAAGTAAAGGATTACTTTCCTGTGGCGTCTCCTTCCCTTGGAGGTTGCACTGAAGAGTCTTTCACCCTTTGAAGGAGCGGAATGGCAGAGTTAAGGAGGGAAACAGTTCTTACATGAGGAGTATTTTTTTTTTCCTGCCCCCCCAAAAAAAAGTGGGTCCATCTGCTGTATAAAAAAAAAGAAGAAAAAAAAAATTAATAATAATTCCATTCTGGCTAGATTGGTTTTGCTGCGTTGTCCGGCCAGGGCCACCGCTTTGCTTTGTCACTTGCAATGTTCTGAGTTTCTCTCCCTGCCGTGTTGCATCCAGCGCTCACCAGGACTTCGCCATCCCGTTCTTCAAACGAAAGCCTACAGCTGAAGGGACGCGGCTGAGCTGCGCGTTACTGGCCCGGCCACCCTCTGGCCGTGGTCCACGGACTGCCACTGGACAGCCACGTTTTTCTGCTGGTCTGCAAAACCAAACCTGTTCAGAAGTGGAGCGGTGAAGGAGAGGGGGGGAAGAGATGTGATGTCCGAGGAGCGCGGTGGTCCATAGGGTGAGCACCCGAGACCCCGCTAGGGAAGTCCCGACGAGCATCTTGGGGCTTGGGGAACACTTTGGTCCCATCTCTTCCTCTCCAAATAAAGACGACTGGAGGTTAGGGAGCCGTTTCTCTTGCGGGCGTACCTGTTCGTGTAATGTTGCCTGCCTCCGGTGCTTCTGCTCGTCAGGGAAAGCTGGAAAATATGCGCGAGTTAAAGGCGAGGAGCTTTTGTCCAGAAAACTTTGTCCTCCTGCTCAGCGGGGTCTTGCACCTACCGGTGCAGGAGTTTCTTAAGCGGTGGCTGGTGGCGATGTCCGAGCTCAAGCCTCGCTTAGGTTAAGATTCCAACAAACCTCCCGTGGCTGTGAATTTGTGCACCGAGGTGGATTTCACCGGAGCCGCAGGGATCTGGGAGGGGGCGTTAGGCTGTGTGGAGGAACCGGGATGCCGCGCTTTCTCGGACCTGCTGTGAGATTTGTCACTGCAAAACCTGGTCGGTGCCAGACCTGCGAGCGGCATCGCCAGCCGGCGGTTACACAAATTTCGGTGTTCTCGGTGGCAAGGCTGAATTTCCCAGCGCCCACCCACCGCGTCCACCCGGCAGTGCGCTGAGCCGCCGGGCTTGGTGGGACTTCATCTCCAACTGCGGTGCGTGAGGAGCCCGAAACTCGGATGGCAGAAGAGGCAGCAGCTACAAACCCAGGATGAGTAAATTCTTCCATGGAAACACTTCTCCTTCTGATCCTTAATATTTTGAATGGGGTGGTTTTTGTTGCTTTGGGGGGGAGGGGGATAGAGATGGATCTCAATCTTTATACATCTGCTATAAGATATTTTTGCAAACAGAGTTGTATACAAAGATGTATTGTGTACATTTACATGTATATTCTGGAACTTCTAAAATTTGAATATAAAAACTGAAAATATTTAATGAATATCCAAACTGTGAGACCCAATTAGCATTCAACAACTTTCTGCTTCACTTTTCTTTTGGACTGTGTTAAAGAATTGTAGTCGAATCTGCCTTTTTTTTTTTCTTTAGAGATTATGAAGCTAGGCAAATTTTGTGCTTTTTGGGTTAATAGAAACCAGTCCTAGGTGATTAAGTATGATCTTAACTTATTGATACTGTGTTTTACTTTGTAATATTGTACTGTGGATAAAACTATATTGAGCCATGGAGTTGGAGTTTACAAAAGAGCTTTTCACTTTGCCAAAATGTTACAATTTAAAGGCAGCATAGTCTTCAGCTTTCCTAATCTTTTCTTAAGAGCTAGTGTCTTTTTTGTACACTAAAAAGCTGAATGCTGATTTTGCAACATATAATAAATTCACTGTATTGGAAAACAAGCAAACAATAAGGTTGTATATTTCCTTTCAGTGCTTCTTACTGCAAGAAAACTCAAAAGGGAAAGGTGATAAATGGCTGCCGTGGAGTTTGAAAGCAGGAAACTTAAAGGAACCAAGTCAGTTGAGTGAGTTTAAGTACCGGAGCAGTAGGTAAGAAACATGAGAAAGAAAAGCTGCTCAGTGTGGGCCGTCCATTTTCCAGCCGCTTGCTGCGTACGGGGAGAGCTCTCGTCCTGAAGTGCTGCCACGGAGCAGCCTTGCTCTTTGGGGAAACCTTTCTGGTGCTCCGGTGGGATCGGCATCTCCGAGCGGTGGCAGGAGCTGGGGGTCTTCCCACTCCAGTGGCATTAGCACTCACGTTTTTTTGGGGGAAAAGCTGCTTTGAAAGAGGCACCCATCGCTGCTGTCGGCATGGAGGTTTAGAGGGGTCCTAGGAGCACGGAGCGCGGCAGCCTGGAGGGTGCACGGCCCCGGGCAGACGGGGCTCGGGTGGGATCGGCATCTCCGAGCGGTGGCAGGAGCTGGGGGTCTTCCCACTCCAGTGGCATTAGCACTCACGTTTTTTTGGGGGAAAAGCTGCTTTGAAAGAGGCACCCATCGCTGCTGTCGGCATGGAGGTTTAGAGGGGTCCTAGGAGCACGGAGCGCGGCAGCCTGGAGGGTGCACGGCCCCGGGCAGACGGGGCTCGGCAGGAGCAGCGGGAGGGCTTG